TTTTTTTTTTTTCATTTTGAGAGTTTGCTAAATCATTAAGTTGCCCAGCCTAGGCTCAAACTGCCATCCTCCTTCCTGTCTCAACTCCAAATGCTGCGATTAAAGGTGTGTGCCACACCTGGCTCCATTCTTTTTGTGTGTGTGTGGGGGGGGGTCCGGTACCGTGAATCGAACTCACGACCTTGCACTTGCCAGGCAGGCGCTGTGCCTCTGAGCTGAATCCCCAGCCCCTGCTCCATTCTTTACAAATGTATTTTGGCACCTTCTACTGAGATTTCCCTTTTTCTTTTGGCACAGTTCCTTCTGATACACCACTAAACATCTGCAACGTTCAATGACAGTTTCAGAAGTGGAAAAGGAGTGGGGTGGTATACTGAATAAACGGGGAGCCACCAAAAAATTACCTGGACAGTTTCTGCTTCAATCCCTTGCCTTTTGAAATGTAGTCAGAAACTTCAATACTGGGAAAATTCCTTCCCGGTGTCCTCGGCTGTTTTGTATATTCAGATCTGAATGGGACTACCCAGAAGTAAACTAAGAAGGTCCTGTCACCTGACAGTCCCACCGCCTCCTCTTCACTTCAGCCCAAGGGTTAAGGAGTGGCCTGATGCAGCCACTAAATGTCTTCTGCACCAGCCCAGAGCAGCACTGCACGACACTTCAGCCTGAGCACGGCAGCCTTTGGCAGTCTTCTCCACAGAAAGCGCTGTTGACAGCAGCAGGGTCTCTACCTGAAAGCTTGGTGTGCAGTGAAAAACAGACCCGAGCCAAGGCAACCACCGTGCTCCTGCAGCCAGCCGGCACAGCAAGGCATGTCCCTGCGCAGGTCTCCTCACCACAGCTGGTCTCCAGATACTGCAGCCTACCAGCGACATTATTTATGAATGCCTAAGATTACAGTCATTACCTGTGTCTGATGAACTGAAAGTTTTACTATTTTTTAGCCCGTAGTAATGTTTGCCTTAAAGACTTTTTATACTTTTTTCTTTTTTTTTTTTTTTTTTTTTTTTTGGTTTTTCTCCGGTACCGGGAACCGAACTCACGACCTTGCGCTTGCCAGGCAGGAGCTTTTGCCGCTGAGCTAAATCCCCAGCCCCTTATACTTTTTTCTTGGATACTATTTGGTTGACACTTTTTAGTTCTTTTCACCTTTCAAGATGTATCCCATTTAAAAAGTTTATAACCATTAAACAAAGCCAAAAGAAACCATTTTACAACTCCGACTTCAACTGGACATAGCTGTACATGCCTGTAATCCCAGCACTTGGGAGGCTGGGACAGGAGGACTGCCCTGAGTTCAAGGCCAGTCTGGGCTAGAGGGAGTTTGATGTCAGCCTGGAATACATAGCCGAGACCCTATATCTTTAACTGAAAATTTGAAGCCATTTACATTAACTGGGATTAACATTCTACCTTACACATACCTCCCCAAAATTACCTCATTATATCCCCTAGTTTTAATGTAATCTGAAAAGAGGATACCAAAGTAACGGAATTATCTCTTCTGCTCTCCACTTGGTGTCAAACCTCTCAAACTCAAGCCAGCTGTTGTCTATTCCCTCCTAATCTGCTCCAACACTTTATTAAATGGCATCATGCCAGGTTAAAGTTTTTAACCGTGTCCTTGATACAGTGGACATCGTTATCATTCCTCTCAGCAGCTCTTACCAGCTCACCTCTAAAATACTCGAAACTACCCATTTCTAACCATCTTCAATGTTACATCTCTAGTTTTTTCACCTTGCCTCAGTGCTTCCTCAGCCTCTTAAATGAACACTCTGCTTCTACTGTATTCTTAATGCACTCTTCATGGAGTACAATGTAATCTCCAAATGTCAGTCATATCATCAACACGTACATCCACTTTAGTGGATTCTCACTGCACTTAATAAAACCTGGGCCGAAGATACAGCTCAGGGGCACACGTGCTTGCCTGGCAAGCAAAAGGTCCTGCGTTCAATTCCCAGCTCCTCTCCCCAAAAAAGAAAAACACCTGTCAGGCTGGACATGGTGGTGCATGCCTGTAATTCCAGGGAGGGTGAGGCAGGACTGCCATGAATTCAAGGCCAGCCTGGATTCCACAATGAGACCATGTCTCAAGAAACCAAATAAAATAACTCAATCTGCCAGGTGCAGTGGCTACCTGGCTATCTATAGTCCTAGCACTTGGGAGGCTTAAGGCAGGACTGTTGTGAGTTCATAGCCAGCCTGATTACATAGCAAGACTGTCTCTAATTAAAAAAAAAAAAAATCCAAACCAGGGGTGGTGACACATGCCTGTAATCCCAGAACTTTGGGAGACCAGGGCAAAATTGAAAGTGCAAATCCAACCTAGGTAATTTAGCAATTCTTTAAAAAACTGGAGAAATAACTGAGCTTAATCTCCAGTACAACTTTAAAAATTTTTAAAAATGAGGTTCTTCACAACCTTTTAAATCATATAGCGCATGCTTCTATAATATCCCACTCCTGCTCTTTCATAACTTACCAAAATTGAACCCTTTTTCTACTACACAGTAGAGCACTAGTTAAGCTCTCAAGGCGGCAGCATTGTTGTGATACTCATGTAATAATCTGTGGGTAAAAGCATCCCTATCTATTGCACTGAAATGGTTAAGTTGTATTTTGCTTTAATTTTAGCTATCCCAGGTTATGGTTCATGTCTGGATGCACCCCAAAAGCCTCATGCGGTCATGTGGGGGGGTGCTCCTAAGAGGTGGCTGAACCTAGTTTGTGACTGATTCATGATCCGATGCCGGGACTGGGTCACACCGGCCCCAGGGCAGGTAGCTTGCGTACAACGTAAGGGACAGTCTTGTCTGGCTTTCTCCCTCGTTGCTTTTGCTGTTTTCCACCATGAACTGTTGCCCCTCTGCCATGTGCCACCCTACCTTGCAGCCAGCCGATTAAGGACTGCAACTTCTCCATACTGTGAGTTACATAAACCTTTCCCCTTTAACTTTGGATGTCGGGTATTTTGTCTAAGCATCGAAAAAAGACACCCCGCTAAGGACGTGAAATTTGCTACTTCTCATTTCTGGATGTAAAATGGGAAAATATTTGGATATATACTAGGAACAAAGCTGTCTTGAACACAAAACAGTGAGACTGAGTTTTCAAAGTGTGGTTCCTGGCAGAACAGCACCCTTGGAAACTAGTTAGAAAAGCTATCTGCAACACTCTGGATTTAGGGGGTCAGAAACAAGTTACACACATTACCTCACCAGCCCTCCAGGTGACTCCAACGTACACTGAGGCTTAAGGGCCACTCATTTAAGTGACAGTCATGATTAACTGCAAAATTTGAAAGACACAGTCTTTCCATAAGTTGCTTTTGTCTTGTAAAATGAGAACACCTTTAAATGTGAAAAAAATGTATGTATATAATCATGTCAAGCAGAGAAAAATGGGGTGAGATTCATATTAGAAATAGGACAAAAGTGGTATGTACCTATAAATAGAAAGGACATAGGTGGTATGTACCTATAAATCCAGCATTCTGGGAAGATGAGCCAGAAAGCTTGCAAGCTCAAGCCCAACCTGGTTAACTAAGACATAGCTCAAAATATAATTTACATACACACAAACACACATATGCTGGGGATATACCTTAGTGCAAAGGCCCTCAATTCAAACCCCAGTGGGTGGCGGTGGGGTGAAGACATTTAGGTACATAATTCATAGTCATTCCTTCAAACAGGCTGAAAGATACTGTAATTACATTACCTAATGAATTTGATTTTTGAAGGTTTGGAAATCAACCTCAATGCAGTTGTGCTCTTACAGGAGTATTTAAAAAATCTTTAGTAAAATTCTTTACCAGTTTTCACTTTTTTTTTTTAATATTCGAAGACTAGTTTACACAATAGAATTATCCAGGTAAGAGCCACTTTTCTCATTGCCACCCCACCCCACCCTCTGTAAAACAAGTTTTACCTGCTGAAGCAATGGGAGGATGAAATATTCCACAGGTTAAGAGTGGAAGTGAAGCAGGTGTGCTGTCGCACAGCATGTCTGTTCCCAACACGGAGAAGGCTGGCAAATTCAAGGCTAACCTGGGCTAGTGAGACCCTATTTCAAGAATACAAAGACTGAGAGCTAGGTGTTTGCATCTAACGCACTAAACTGTGGAAGGTCAGGAACTTTAATAATTATCAAAAATGTGTAAGTTCAATTTATGGGACAGTCAAACTGACATTCAAAAATCAATTTGTGCATGTATCCTTATTTAATGCAAAGTTAAACAGGAGCAGTGGTGCACACCTGTAATCCCCACTGCCAGGATGCCGAGGCAGGAAGATTACAAGTACAAGGCCAGCCTGGGCAATCTAGTGAGTCTGTCTCAAAAACAAAAACAAAAACAAACAAACAAAAAAAGGGCTTGGGATGTAGTTTAGTGGTAGGGCACTTGCCTGCCATGTACAAGGCCCTGAATTCAGCCATAAGCACCAAAACAGTAAAAAAAAAAAATGAATTTCTAAGCCCAAATGGTATTTTACAAATGTTAAAAAAAATGTGAAAACATAGACAATATAGCACATACTATAATCTGTCAAAACAAGAGAGATTTGGAGTATGATGTCATTTTAAATTTTAATAAAATAGATAATTTCATATTACATAGAGTAAGTCCATCCACGCATTGTTGATAAAATTTTTAGAAATAATTTCTATAAAAAGTTGAGTATTTGATTGGGAAGCAATTCATTATAATGTGACTTCTACAGGTACAGAATTTTATCACCCTATTCTTTTAATTTTGTGAAATTTTAAAAATACAGAAAAGTACAAAAAATAAGACAAGATATCCATATACCACAATGCAGAATTAGTGAGTATCTTCATATATTTACTTGCAGAGAAATGGATATTTATATAAAAAGATGAAGCCCCTCCCCTCCCCCTCCTCCCATACTCACTCCCATCCCTTCTCCACTCTTCACAGGCCACCCTCAAGTCTGGTCTGTATCCTTCCAATTGATTTCAAAAACATTTACATATGTATGTGAAGCCATTAGCAATATAAAGTGTTGAACTTCATCAAGGAAATGTTTATAATTCAAATTTACAAAGTCATTGTACTATAATCATCTTTCTCCAACTTTCTTCCCCTCAACATTTTAGGTACTTCCATGAACATGTGGCTCTCCTCTGTTGCACTTTAATAGATGTGTATTATTACATAAGAATTTTCCTTTTTATTCTAGATGGATATTTGAATTGTTCCCAATAGCTGGCTACTACACATTGAGCCACAGAGAAATTCCTGGTATTTCCTGAGCATAAACGTAGTAAAACTAGTTATGTATTTTTCAATTTGTTACAAGGAATGCTTTCCTATTCCCAAGATCATAAACATTTTTAGTACACTGGCTTTTAATAACTGTCTTCAGTTAATGTGAGTTTTACTCTTCTGTGTAATCCACGGTCCATTCTCTACCCTTGGAGAACAAATTACCTCCAAATAATTCATCTCCTAATGCTATCTCTTTCATATTCCAAATTCATATGAATGCATAGGTCCTTCTGGAATTGCTTCTGCTCTGCTGAATCACTAACACAAAGGCTTATTATTTGTAGATGATGTGTGTTTGTGTCTTCCGTTGTAATACTTGTAACTTTTTTTTTTTAATCCAGGTGAATATCTCCAGATTTATGCTGAGTGTAGTAAGAGGCCTCTATTTTCTGTTCTCAATTTTAGAGAAATGCATATAAAGTCAGTGTTACTTCTGACAGTTTTTTATTTGGGCAGTCTTTTCATCATACGAATGTCTTTTTCTTCAGTATACACTGTTGGTGTCCTCTAAAGTTTTAGCATTTGTTAAAGTTTGCCTCACTTGGGATGCTTTGCTTCAAAGTATTTCTGATGAACTGGGAGACACAAATGCCTGGTGCATGTTTCCCATTTTGAAGCTATTTACAGGTCTTAGTGAGTATGAATTTTCTGGTGTCTAATATGATGTGACTTCTGGCTGAAAGCTTTTCCACATTCACTACATTGATAAGGCTTCTTACCTGTGTGTATTCTCAAATGCAGGGCTAGGGTTGAGAACTGTGAGAAAGCTTTCCCACATTCATTGCAACCGTAGGGCTTCTCACCTGTATGGCTTCTCACATGCACAGTGAGAGAAGAACTCTGAGAGAAGGCTTTTCCACATACATTGCATTCGTAAGGTTTATCACCTGAATGAATTCTCACGTGTACAATAAGTGATGTTCGCTGAGAGAAGGCTTTTCCACATTCATTACATTCATAGGGTTTCTCTCCAGTGTGAATGTTTTGATGCTTTATGAGGTACTTCTTCTGGCCAAAAGCTGTTCCACATTCATTACATTTAAAGGGTTTTTCTCCAATATGAATTTTCTCATGCTCAGTAAGATTTGATTTGCCACTAAACGTTTTCCCACACTGTTTACATATGAAGGGCTTCTCTCCAGTGTGAGTTCTCTGGTGTCTGATGAGGTTTGACTTCTGAATGAAAGCTTTCCCACAATCTTTGCACTCAAAAGGTTTCTCTCCAGTGTGAATTTTCTGATGGGTAAGGAGGTTCTCCTTCTGGCTGAAAGACTTTCCACAATCATTACATTCAAAAAGCTTCTCTCCAGTATGGGTATTCTGATGTTTAATGACATACTGCTTTTGGCTAAAGGCTTTCCCACATTCATTACATTCAAAAGGTTTCTCTCTAGTATGAAAATGCTCATGCTCAGTGAGATTGGATTTGTGGCTGAAAATTTTCCCACATACCTTACAAGCAAAGGGGTTTTCCCCACTACAATTTCTCTGCTGACTGAGGTGTGACATCGGAATGGAAGCTTTCCCACATTCACAAGATATCTCTCCAGTATGAATTTTTTGATGAATGAGGATTTACTTTTGACTGAAGATATTTCCACATTTCTTACATTTATAAAGCTTTTCTGTGTATGACCTCTGAAATGCAGAATGAGGGATAAAGTCTGAGAGATAACTTTATCACACGTAGCACACTCAAAGTTTCTCTCCAGTACAAAATTCTAATATTCAGTGACAGTATGCTATATTCACTGGTTTTTCTCCAGCATGAATTTCTCTTGCTCAATGAGATGTCATCTAGCTAATGGCTTTTCAATATTCCTTAGAAGCACAGGGTGTCTCTTCAGCATGACTTCTCAGTTCAATGAGACATGTGAATAAATGCTTACCCACGTTCAGTACATTCATAGGATTTCTCTCCAGTGAGGAATGCTCGGCTATCAGACAGGGTACAAAGGGATTTTCACACTGACTCACAAGCGGCTATTATCACAAAGAGTAAACTCTGCTAGAGGACTTCCAAATTATTAAAATTGCTGATTCTTTTCTACACAGCTTTCCTCATGATTAAGCCTAAATTATCTTTCCAAATTAAAATTTCAAAAAGGTATTGCCTTAAGAGAAATAAGGTCTGGGAGAAAAGGAAGGATTTTTCTAATTTTGTTATAGTCAGTTTTTTCCCGTCAGTGTTTATTAGAGAAGGACGCAACTTGCCTCCCAAGTCTTGATGTCTCTTTATCTGTTCATTATCTTCTCAGGATTATTCTAAAAGAGAGTACAAAGAACTATCATTTAAAGGAGTTAATGTATAAAGTGTTTAAAATAGTAGCACATGGTAAACATTCAATAATTATTACCTTGAGAGTACCATTACTACTATCTGTGAATTTCCCTATTACGTGAAATTTCAGATTTTAGAATTCATATGACTAATGTCTCCAACTAAATTTTGAGAAGAAAATCCTTGTACAGGAATTTGGAGTTAAAAAAAAAAAAAAATCAACATTTGTGGGTTTACAAAGCTTACATTACTATTACAAATGAGAAAGTCCACACCTGGTGTTATCTCAGCACCCTGGGTGGCTGAGGCAGAAGGATCTTTAAATTTGGGCCCAAGCCAGGCATGGTGTTGCAGACCTGTAATCCCAGCCCTCAGGAGCCCAAGGAAAGAGGATACTCACTAATTTGAGGCTAGCCTGGGCTACAGAGTGAGTTCAAGGCCAACCTGAACTATTACAGAGACCCTGCAGTAAAGCCAGGCATGGTGGTTCATGCCTGTAATTCCAACTCTCTGAGAAGCTGATGCATGAAGATCCTTGAGTTTGAACCCAGCTTGGGCAATTTAGCATCTTAGTTGTCTCAAAATAAAACCCTGTCTCAAAATTAAAAATATAAAGGGCTAGAGATTACAGTGTGAAAGCTCTGGGTTGAATCCCCAGCACTGAAAATGAATGAACCCCCTTTTAGGGGGTTGGTGGTACACATAAGCTTGGTTGATCAATGGCATCTTTTACATAGTCTTAACATAAAGTGAACTTCAAATAAGTGTACACTGAAAATCTTCCAGTTTGTTTCCGTTATTGCAACGTTGTCTATCGTACACAAAATTTAACTTTACTCATGCCAAAAAGCTCCATACTCAGGCTTATTTAGCAAATGAGATGACACGGAAGAGCTGCTATACTGAAATCAAAAGATTACCAAGATATAAACATGGTTAGACCTTCAGTATCACTGTGTAGTGAAGGCCCCCAAAAATGTGCACTGAGATACACACACCTATGAGCAGGATATAAAAGGATCTTTTTCTGAAGAAAGCCCATGACAAACATAGGATGCTCCTCTAAGATAACCATTACTTGTACTTTTTTAAATTTTTTTTTTTTTTCCCATTACTTGTGCTTAAACAAAGGATTAGATCATGCCTGAGTACATTACAGTAAAGCAGTATAACTTTTTTCAGGGAGGAGACAATTGGTCCTTAAGGCATTTTACTTTTATCCACTGAAGTTTTCCAGGTAAGACAGCATGACCACCTTTGGTGAGCCATGGTTAAATATAACCTTGCAGCAAACATCCCACACACATTTGAGGAACCCCATTAAAAGGGAAGACAGATCAAAACAGTTGGGCACAATGGCTCACGCTATACTTCCAGAACTAGGAGAAGCTAAGGCAGGAAGATGGCACATTTGAGCCCAGCCTGGGCAAGTTAGCAAGACACTGTCTCAAAATAAAAAAGGGCTGCAAATCTAGCTCAGTGCAAAGGCCCTGGGCTCAACTTTCAGCACAGAGAAAGGGAGGTGGTGCAGAGCCCAGGCAGGTTGTCCATGCCCGTAATTCTACCACTCAAGAGGATGAGCAGAAGCATCTTGAATTCAAGGTCAGCCTAAACTAGCTACCAAGTTCCAAAGTTAGCTTGGACTACATAGGGAGACCATGTCTCAAAAACAAAACCTAATACAATCATAAAATTAAGAGAAGATATGTTTACCACTGAAAGAGTATTAGGATGTGTAAGCAGCATAAGAAAAAGTCTCCACAGTAACTAAGACTATGCAGAAGATGGGAAAGCTGATGTAGACTGTATAACTGTACTATTTATCAAGGACAGGGTCTCTGCCAGGCATGGTGGTGCATACCTGTAATCCCAGCACTTGGGAGGCTGAGGCAGGAGGACTGCCATGAGTTTGAGGCCACCCTTACTTACATACTGAGTTCAAGGCCAGCCTGGACCACATAGCAAGACAGTCTCAACACACACACACACACACACACACTACTACCGCCACAACAAAAAGAACAGGGTCTCCTTACTCCAAAAAAAATTTTTTATATTACCTAACTCTAGCAAACTTAGGCATGGCCAGCAGACACTTTCATACAATTCCATCACAAAGGGCATGTATCATTTCCTGGTGGAAGTTTTAATAACAAATGCACAGACTAAACAAGGAAATGCAATAACTGAGTATCAGAAAGCTCAAGGCTAATAAGACAGGAAGATTCAAAGTTCAAGCCCACTTGGGGGAATTAGCAAGACTGTTCTGAAATACAAAAAGTGATAATGAGCCTGGCATGGTAGTGCACACATGTAATCCCGGCACTTAGGAGGCTGAGGTAGGAGGATCATTGAGTTCGAGACCAGCCGGGGCTACAAAGTGAGCTCAAGGCCAGCTTGAACTGCACAGCAAGACCCTGTCTCAAAAAGACAAAAAAAAAAAAAAAGAAGAAGAAGAAGAAGTGATGAAGAGAGGGCCCAGTGTGGCGGTGCATGCCTGTCGTCCCAGGAGTCGGGAATCTGAAGCAGGAGGATTGATGTAAGTACAAGGCTACTCTGGGCTAAACAGTGAGACCCTGTCTCAAAAAAAACCAAAAAACACAGTAAGGGCTGGATAAGTGCAAAAGCTCTGGGCTCATGTACTGGAAAAAGTCTCACAAAAAGGAAAAAACTAACTAGAGGAAATTTATTCAAAGAACAACAACAAAAACCTGCTTCAAAAGTCATGAATCTGAGCCAGGAATATAGCTCAGCAGCACAAGCGCCTGCCTGGCAAATGCAAGGTCCTGAGTTTGACACCCAGTACCAAAAAAAAAAAAAAAAATTAAAATAAAAAGTCATGAATGAATCTCCAGACAGAAAGGGTCCATTTGGTACTTATATAATAAATAAGATCCATACCTAAGCACAATACTGTAACATTTCACAAAGAAAAAGATGTTACAATGTTTTCAGAAAGAAAGATCACTGAAAAAATAGGGCCCTGAATGACATCAAATTTTCGAAAGAAACACAGGAAACTAGAAGACAAAATTTTAAGAGAAAAATTTTAAGCCTAACCTATCAATCTAATGGACATTTTAACAAAGGTGCTTTTCAGGCCAGGCACGGTGATATGCAGCTGTGGTCTCGGCACTCAAGAGGCTGAGATAGGAGGACTGCTGTGAGTCAAGGCCAACCCGAACTACAATAGCAAGACCTTGTCTAAAAAAACAAAACAAAACAAAACAAAACAAACAAACAAACAAAAAAAAACCAAACAACAGGGCCAAGGATTTATCTCAGTGGCATAAGCACCTGCCTGGCAAGCACAAAGTCCTAAGTTCGATTCCTCGTACCAAAATAAAACAATAACAAAAAAACCCAATCACAAACAACACTGGCAAACACAAGTCCTGAGTTTGATTCCCAGCACCAAAAAGCAACAACAAACAAAAAAGGGCTCTTTTCAGATACACAAATGCTCAGAAATTTCACCTCTAAAGGAACTTCTCTCAGGATGCTACTAGAAAATGTCAACCACCAAAATTAGTACACAGAAAAGGGAACAGACTCAAGATTCCAAGGAAGAGGATACAACCAGGAAAACAGTAAAGATAATCTGTAGGACAGTGGTGGTGAAAAGCTACAAGAGTAGAACCTGACTATGAGGGCTTTTACTACAAAGGAATTTGTGTGAAATGTAAAAAAAACATGCAAGCAAAACCAAGAATGACAAATACTAGTTCTATGAAAATTTTTTAAAATGTGTAAGCTTTTGTACACTAAGCACAGTGGTTAAAGAAGTCTTAAAGAAAACACAAGGACAATCACTTAGGTTAGTTTTCCCATCAGTCTTACTTGGAAGAAAGTCAGACTTGGGTGTTATTTAATTCTTCCCACAGAACGAATGAAGCTAATCATTTCAAGGTAAACAACTGACATAATGTTGCCAATAATAAAATTTGAGATATCAAGCAAAAACTGTATTTTCAGAAAATCAGTATCCTCCAGCATGTAACTGGTAGCTTCCCAAATTTAAAAAGAATTTCCAGCTAAGTGTAAGCAGTACACCCTATGATCCTGACACTCAGGAAAATTGGTGATATTAACATGTATGATAGGTGTGCTGCGCACACCTATAATTATAGCACTCAGGAAGCTGAGGCAGGAGGCCAGATTGAACTACAGAGAGCCTATCTCAAAAGAAAAAAAAAAAAGTTTTCATATTGTATAATAAAATGTGTAGGGGGCTGGGAATATAGCTCAGAGGTGTGAGTGCCTGCCTGGCAAGTGCAAGGTCCTGAGTTCGATTCCCAGTACCAAAAATAAATAAATAAAATGTGTCAACTTCTAAAAGCGCTATAACTCAATGAACCAATGTTTTTCAAATAAACAATAAATGCTTTACTAAATGTTTATCTTTAAACTGATAAATAGAAACATAGAAATTATACATATTTAAGGGATTTCATGTCATTTTGATGCTTGTACAAATCGTGTAATGTTTAAAACATTTAAGGTACTGGGGACATGACACAATGGCAGAATGCTTGTGTAGCATGTATGAGGAACCACAAAGTAAGTATGACTAAACATGTCTATCTCCTCAAAATTTGTCATTTTTTCATGGTAAAACACTGAAAACCCTTTTCTCTAGCTTTTAGAAATATACAGTGTATCATCATGTGTAGTTAACATACTATAGCAGAACTTCTTACTCCTGGGGAGTTTTTCTGGGAAGGCTGGGGGGTGATTCTGAGACAGTGCTGGGATGACAGATGTGTACCACCATGCCTGGCTCTCCTGTGGATTTTTTAAAAATTTAAGACAGACCAATGGATGTTATGTAAAAGTATACTCTTGTAAAAAAAAAGAAAAAAAAAAGTGATACTAGGGGGGTGAAGCCAGCCAGGACCTTCACAGACTTACATTCCTAGCCCTCTATTATTTTAAGATAGAGTCTAAGTTGTTAAGTTGTCCAGAGTAAGCTAAAACTTGCAAT